TATTCATTGCCTTGGTCCTTTATTGTGGTGGGAATGAATGCCAGGTATCTCTAGTCAGTCATCTTGCTGACATCCCTCTCAATAGCTTTATTTTGTAAATGAGTAGTGAAGACTAAGAAAGGCAGCAGCACAGTAAATAAGTGCCTTCTCTTGAGAATCAAATTCCCTGAGTTCAAATCTACTACTTCTTAACTGTATGCTCTTGGGCAAGATATTAACTCTGTAGGTCCTAGTTTCATTAAACTTTAAAAATAAGCATTCTAAGAGTATCTGACTTTCTTGGAGGTTGCTGTAAAAAGTAAGGGTAACGTTCTTTATATAGTTTCTGAAAAAGTAATAAGTATTCAATAAGTATTAGATATTTCAATGAGGTGACTTGCACAAGGTTGGGCAGCTAAAAGGAATGCCCAGTCTATTGTGCAGTATAAGACATTTGGTGTTTCTGCTATGTATACCAAAGCATACTAATTATATATAGTGACATTAATGACATAATATCACTAAGTAATATTATCTTTTTGCCATTTTTCATAAAACTAATTCAAAAACATACTTTTGTATTTAGTATAATGTGTATTTCTCTGAATGCTCAGACTTCAATTTACAGTTTGGTTTTCTATTTCAGCAAAGCTATCTTTTCAAAAGATATACTCTAGGTACTGTGGTGCTTTAGGGCATTATTACAAACATGGGTTTTCAGTGTACTATTGAGTCAGAAATACTGTTTAATGGAAATTACAGGGGATAGGCTGCCAAAAGAAAATACATTTTTACTAAACCTTGTACTCTCTGTGAATTTTTCAAGAGTGCAAAGTAAAAAATTTACAGAACACACAAAGCTCTCAGGAGCCAGTGATGTAGCTATATATTATTTCATTGTAATTCAAATACGTAGTAAAGTGAAATGTCATTTGACAGCATTTTCTATTTCTCCTTTATATTACATATTAGAGATATAAATATCAGGCAAAAATTTACTCATAGATCCCATTATGTGGAAAAGAATATCTTAATTACTGGTTATTTATTGTGAAATAAAATAAAATATGCACAGACACCCCTCACTTTTCACAGAGTCATGACTTCTGGCTTCCTATATTCCTCATACATACGTCATCTTAGCTTCCAGGGTAACTCTTATTACTATTCCTTCCATGAAAAATGATAATTGGTAAAAACTAAACAGTTACAATAGTCAATTTTATAAGTTTTGCTCTTTCAGAGCAAAATTAAGATAAGAAATTATCAGAAAATGAGTAGGGCCTAGGAATGGTGATTTAACAAAAAATATGCTACACACACACACAGCACATTTTATGCTCTCTCTCTATATATGCTATATATAAACATATATGATACATATAAACATATATTTATAAAAATATATTTTTTTCTTGAGAATTTTTTTGAGAAAAAATTACATATTTCTATATTATATATATATGTATATATATAAAAAAAATATATATATATATGTTAGGCACATATTCCTCTTGGACTTAGGTGCCTTAGGCTGGATACCTCTCCTACCCCCGACAAAAGCAGAGCCTTTAAAAAGCGTTGTGTGCAGTGCATTAATTTTGGAATGTGATTCTAAGGAATGGGACTGGGAACTTTGAAAAAATTAAATAAGGCAAGCCAATCTAAGACTGTATTTTTAAGCTCATCAGTACTGTAGGTAACTGAAGACCCTAGTGGAGTCCTACTGGAGACCACTAAGGAACTATATGGAATGCACTTCAGAATATTCTGCCCGAAGGACAGAAAAGGGGAGTATTTATCCACTGAATCCTGCCCCTATTGTCAATTCCCTCAAACTTCCAGGTTTGCATATATGTCAGTGTAGATTAGCAGATTTCCACAGGTGTTCCACGTAACAGAGGTGTCAGAAAAGCACTAATACAGAAATCTAGAGACACATGGGACAACAGAGGTAAAGTGCTATCAAAGAGTAAAATGTATGAATTGAAAAATGGCCTAAGAGGATGTGAGGTAGGACACAAGAGATATTAAATACCGTCCAATCCTTGCAGCACTCAGAGCCACACAGTTTCCACATTGAGTCCAATCTGTCACAGAGTCTTCAAGGAAGTGGGGGGCCATTACACAAATACTAAATGCAAAAGATTTAGTGGAATAAGTTATGTGGCTCCTGTAATTGATTCCAAGTCTATAATTGATAGTTATCATCTCTCTCTTCCACCACAAATTCTGTATTTCTCTCACATTTGGCCAACCTCTTCAGTAGGTTCACGTGGTTTGAATGGTGAGGTGACCTAGACCTTCATCCTCAAAGGGTCAGAGTCTTTAGTTGCTTTACCTTGTCAGGCTGTGGTTGCTACAGTTGCCCATTTAAGGTTATTACTTGACACTGAAGCACCAAAGGATGCCTCAATGAATCCCGTAGGAAGGACATACTCTATACTGCCTCCATTAATAGTTATAACTCTAGCTCTGCATGGTAGCCAGGATCAATATCTCTTCCAATATCATGCTTCTATTTGCCTGCTGAACAGTTGACACAAAGAGTCATTATGACTAGATGGCTTTCATAGCTTCAGGTACCTCAGCTGCACCTCAAGCTAGTCTACCACTCCATGAAAGTTTTCATAACTGTGAAGTTACTTATAGCAGAGCCATTGCCACCAACAATGGGGTCCTTGTCACCAAATGCCCTGTGATACAATTCTAGATTCCCATCCTGATGAGCTGCTTTCTAGGGCTACTTTAGGTAATCACTGACTTAGCCAGGGTTCTCCATGAAGCAAACATAGGACAATAACTTCTAAAGAGGTTGACTATAGTTAAGTAATTCCAGAGAGGACAGAGGTACTAGGAAGAGCAAAACAGAAAATGATGGAAATGAAGGAAAGATAATGCAAAAGTGTGTTACTAGTTGGCCACTGTTGTGGATAACCAGAGTGGGATCCTTTTAAGAGAACTTCTGAGGAGCTGTGTGGAACGGACCATAGAATTGTTAAACTGAGGGATGTAACAGGGAAGTATTTATCCATCAACTCCCACCCTCCTTGGTCAAGAGGTGCCCCATGCGATGTTTTAGTCCCTTCACACATCCAGGATAGTTCATGTGTGAGAATGGCTAAATGGGTTCCTGCAAGTGTTCCACACAGCAGAGGAAGCAGAGAAGCCCTAGGGGCAGGAAGTAAGACATACACAGTACAGCCAAGGCAACTGGCCAGTCAGTTCACTGTATACAACTGATTGCTGGAGTAAAAAGTTAGGCTGAGAGGATGGGAGGTGGGTCAGAAGAGCTATCTAGGACACAGTGAAATAAATGCTCTAATAAAGCAATGTGTAAAATACTACAGGAACTTATATGGAAAAGAAGAGACAATCCTTAAGCTCTGAGGCATAAGAAAAGGGCTGAGGGCTTACTGTAATTGTTTTATCCACTTGCTACCCTTTCTTTTTCAATATCAGATTAATTATGCTCATTATTTTCTGTCTCCTAAAAGTCTAACATTTAAAAAAGGAGGAAAAGGAGGAGGGGAAATTAAATATTTTTTTCCTGTGGCAAAAACTTTTTTAACATTCAAAAAAAGTAATTTGGAGCCAAAAATGAAAAGCATATTTCCCTTCAGACTGTGATTTACACTTTCCTGGAGCTGGGAAAAAGCATGAGAAAGCACCTGAATAAATATGCACACTGTGGAATCTATTTAGGTGGTGAGAAGAGAGAATCTGCTTGATACTGCAGTGAACAATTCAAATCACAGCAAAGAAATGCATTTATGCATATTTTAAACAAAAGGATGATTATCCTTTCATGGTCCTGAAGTTGAAAAACAAATTTGAAATGGCTATTACAAACACCCACTCTCAAATACAAGTTTCTATAGGATACATCATTTGTACCTGACTAATGGACAAGCTTTCCGAAATTCTGTAGTTGATATGCATGTTCCTTTCAAAAGAAAATGTTTATGTAATGTATTTTTGCTTGCTTGGTATTGGAAGAAACGGAAATGTCTTATCTAGATGAAAGAAAGTTAAGAGATGTTTAAAAAAATCTTAACAAATTTTAAAAAGATACACATTAGGTTTGAGAAAGCTCACAGGCCACAACATTCAAATTCAGTATTTTATATTGCCGTGATTGTATCTATCATATTTGTGCTGCATTTTTATCCATATTATAAACAGTTGTGATTTATATCTGGAACTGTGATTCATAGTGTTCAATTCACTTCTAAAATCAAGATACTCTAAAATATATCTTATTTTTATTTTGATAGTTTTATATGCATTTATAAAATTATTCACATAATTTATAAATCAATCATCCTAGGTTATTTAAAATATACCATTCCTATCCAAAACAGGCAGATCATTTCCATATCAAATTAATTAGTAGCTATTGTCAGTTTTAATAATAATTTCTCAATTTATCTAAGATGCCTAACACTGCCACCATGATGTGTAGTCAGGAGGATACGTTTTTGTAAAAGTCAGCATTTATCTTACACTAACTCCCTTTTCAGAGAGAGAACATATTTAAGAAATGAGTAAGTCGTTTTCTTCCGGTCTCTCTGGTCTCGGCTGCAGAAGCGAGATGAAAGGGAACGTTATCGTTTGGAAAGCGTCGCAATAAGACGCACACATTGTGCCGCCGCTGTGGCTCTAAGGCCTACCACCTTCAGAAGTCGACCTGTGGCAAATGTGGCTACCCTGCCAAGCGCAAGAGAAAGTATAACTGGAGTGCCAAGGCTAAAAGACGAAATACCACCGGAACTGGTCGAATGAGGCACCTAAAAATTGTATACTGCAGATTCAGGCATGGATTCCGTGAAGGAACAACACCTAAACCCAAGAGGGCAGCTGTTGCAGCATCTAGTTCATCTTAAGAATGTCAACGATTAGTCATGCAATAAATGTTCTGGTTTTAAAAAATAAAAAAAATAAAAAAAGAAATGAGTAAGTCGATAAGCCACTTGTAACCAGCACTAATGATTGTTCAATGGACACATATAAACTCAATGTAAACTTGAAGTTAATTCCATTTAATTTATAGCTTATTTTATAATAGTATTTTATTAATGAATTAATTTACATATACTAAAATCGCAAATCTAAACATACAGCATGGGGCATGTTGACAAATGTATGCAACTACATAACCGTCATCCAGATCAAAATACAAAACATTTCAATCACCCCAGAACATTTCCTCAGGCTCCTTTTCCATTCAATTTGAATTCCCTGCCCTCACTCAAAGCAGCCACTACTCTGGTATCTATCATCAAATGCTAGTTTTGCCTAGAAGTGGCTTTAATGTAAAAGTAATTAGATAGTATGTTATATCTGGCTTGTTTTGCTCTACTTAATGTTTTTGAGATTCATACAGGTTGTTGCATGTATCAGCGTCCTTTTTTTAATGAACAGTATTCCGCTGACTATATTGCAGTTTGTTTATCCATTTTCCTATGGATGGAAATTTGAGTGTTTACAGTTTTGTGCTATTGTGAATAAAGCTTCTATGAGCAGTCATTTTTCTGGGGTGTATATCTAGGAATGAAATAGCTGAATCACAAGGTAGTGCAGGACAGTGCTCTAGGTGGCCTTGGACAAACTCAATTGTCCCCCCTTTCTCACCTGTAGTTCTCAAGAATAACTGTACTGTGTGCTGGGAATGTAACATCCTGGACTAAGTGACTGTGAGAAACACTGTGACTTTACAGATGAAACATCTACAAAGAATCATCTATTGTCTTGTTAATCATATGCAATTTGCCACAGATATTTCCAGTGACTTCTATGAAAATATTTGTTGTTGAAATGTATGCATGACATCTTAAAAAATTGATATTTATTTTTTGTTTATCTTAAAAGACATAGAGAAAAATGATCAGTATGGTTATCTATTACACTCCTGTATATCACATTTCTCTATTAGCCACAGGTCTGATTCCGGTTGTTTCCATTCTTCTCCAAGCAGCGTGTTAAAATTGAAAGGTCTGAAGTATTCTAGGTGATGGCTAAAAGCAAAGAAAAAGAAGGTGGGAATTGAAATGAATTATGCATTTGTGAAATAGTTGTCCTGAAGGGCTATTTATTTTGTCACATCTGTAAGAGGACAACATTCTATTTTAAGCAATACTAAAGGTAAGACATATTTTATATGTACAGTTTTCTCACTCTAGCTATCAAACACTCAGCTCTGAAAACATTCACCTACATCTCAAAGCCCTCTTCTTTCAATTCTGCAAATAGCTCCCTCATAGCTGAAGGGAGAAACCAACTCTCAAAACATGACTCATTCCATCCAACTTTAAACAAATCATATTATGCTCTTGCATATGTTTTTATATTCAAATTTTGACATAATTTATAGCAGTCATATAAGCAATGGTTTTAAAAAGTTTCAGTTCCATAGATAAGAAGATAGACTTCTTAATTCCCTTGTCTGCCGAAGCAACAGAGGTTAATGTAAAAGAGTGTTAATCCCAGTTCTTTTCTTTCCAGGAAAACCATTTAACTATATTAAGAAGCTTTCTCTAGTGGCTTAATGAGAAGAGAAAGGCTTAGCTAACATGCTGCAGTGGAGCCCCACTCTGTAGGCAGTCACTCTGCCTCAGCTCTGTCCTGGCCAATGTATAATCGTACTTCCACCTCCGATAAGCTTCCAATAATGTATGAATGAAGAGCCTGAATACAGGAAGGTATTAGCTGATGAACAGCCAGGGAGACATGACATCTTGATACGAGGACCTTGAGTCAGTTGCAACTATGTTTTTGTCTCATTCTGCCCACCTGGCCAGGATAAATCAGTTTTTGAGTCATAGTTGTCAATCCCAGAGTAAGAGATTAAGGAAAAAACAGTGAAGGATAAGAAAAAGGAAGGGAAAAAAAGACCAGGTAAAAGCTATGTCAGGACTGGGGGAAAGGTAAAGGGAAAAAGGGAAAAAAAGGTCAAGCAAAAACGGGGAAAAAAATGTCAAGGATAAGAAAAAGGAAGGGGAAAAAAGACTAAGTAAAAGCTATGTCAGGACTGGGGAGAAAGGCAAAGGGAAAAGGGGAAAAAAGGTCAAGCAAAAAAGAAATATGCTGGAAGTGATAAAGACAAAGAAGCATGAAGAGCGAGCATGAAAGGAAGGAGAAGGCAAACAGGGTGAGGGAGGACAATGCAGCACATTCCACAGGTAAAAAGGCAGGAATGTCCGTGTATTATAGTGCAGTGCTCACTAGGATGTCTCTGTTAGGTTCTTCCAAATGCCCAGATTCACCAGACTACCTTGGCCATGGTGAGTATACCTAGAGAGATATAGAGCAGCAATCACAGCTTGCCCCAGGACAGCATCTGGCTTTCCTCCCTAAAGGAGTAGTCCTTGCAGAAGTCCAGGAAGCATTCACAACGCTGGCCAGGAGCTCTAGTCTACCTATGTGAGACCTACAGGTGCAAGGAAACAAGACTCAAATTGAGAAAGCATAGCAGATACCTTGGCTCAAATGCCTGCTGCCCCATGAGAGCATTATCTCTTGGAATAACTCCATAGCCATAGCTTCCAGGGTTCGCACAGGGAACATGACTGTTAAAGGAGAATCCCAAAGCCACGCTGTCTCCATCATATATTTATAGTTCATCCAAAATTATTCTCAGTCCAGATGTAATTTACCACTTAAGGGTCATTTTTATCATAAGCAATGTTGCCTAGAAACATAGTTGATATTTTTATCCTTATGAGGTTACCAGAAGAGGAGAACTAGAGAGATAACTGAAGATCAGATTTCCTTGCAACAGGGACCCTTTGTTCACACCTGGAAACACTGACGCCTCTGGCCCTTTAGCTCTGAAAGAAATTTTAAATGAATTTGCAAACATACTTCTATATCAGCTATTGCAACATTTACTTTTCTCACATGCAAACCACTATGGAAAAATAAGTGTTCTACTGACAGTAGTGAGAGAGAGAATGTCAGCCCAAAGTTTACCAAGTATATTCTGAGGACCATCAGTGAACATTGGACTCTACTAGGTGCCTGTGCACATCTGTCATCTTCTTTGATCAAAAGGGTTACTTCTGCTCCACTAAGACTTAATTTCCAAAAAACTCGTTTATTTGGAATATATCTTCATTTATTTTCTACTTACAAATCAGGTTTTTGTCCTTGTTGCAGTTCATGCTGAGGTACAGGGTAAAGAGCTTCATAACTTCGTTTATCTTTTGATCCATGAATTGCAAATGAATTGAATTTTGTCACATTTGGTGGAAAATAATTCCAAGGGAGATAAGCTTTGCCTTCCCATTTTGTCTCTCCTCTGGACACTCTGAATGATAAAGGAAGTTCTTGCTACAGAAACAACATGTGGAACACAAAAGATAAAATTGGGCTTACACTTTAAACATAGAAATAAATATGTGTATTACTGTGTATGTAATGATTTTGCCTCATATTTTTATTTACTTACTTTCCACACATTTCTTCTTCCAGAAAGTAAAAGCACTAAATGCTGTCCATGGCTGTCAAAATTGAGATTCCTTATGAGTGTTTGAAAAACATGTTATTTTCTTCACTATCCTTTATACATGGAATGTGTGTGCTTGCAACTAAATTTCTAAATAATTAAAAGATGCAGGCTGAGCGTGGTGGCTCACGCCTGTAATCCAGCACTTTGGGAGGCCAAGACGGGCGGATCACGAGGTCAGGAGATTGAGATCATCCTGGCCAACACGGTGAAACTCCATTTCTACTAATATACCAAAAAAAAAAAAAAAAGAAAAGAAAATTAACTGGGCATGGTGGCGTGTGTCTGTAGTCCCAGCAACTTGGGAGGCTGAGGCAGAGGAATTGCTTGAACCCGGGAGGTGGAGGTTGCAGTGAGTCAAGATAGTGCCACCGTACTCCAGCATGACAACAGAGTGAGACTCAGTCTCAAAAACAAACAAAAAAAAGAGACACAATATTAATATTGGATAATTATAGGGAGAGCCAGTGTGTTCAGTTGCTTAGAAATGACATCTTTGGGTTTACCACTCCAGACAACTGCCACCAAATGCATAAAGTTTCATGTTTAGATTGCTTTTTATATTCTTTAAAGAAAAAGTTATATAAAATACTTCATTTGGTTAGATGACACAAAGTATGAAAAAGGTCAGAGAGATACCATGTTATTTGGAGTTTTTTATAAAACGAGTTTCAAAAACTGAAGCAAGCAACAATTTCCAAGTCTGAATTCAACAATTTTAATAAAGGTTAGTTCTGAAAGAAAACTATCTGGTAGCTCATTAAGAAAATAAAAAATGCAAAACACAGACAGTCTACAATTAGTCAACAGGCTAAAGATTTTCATCGTTGTCTATTTTTTTTCCACACACTGCCTTCAACCTGTCTGCCTCTTGTGTTTTCCTGTTTTCTACCATTCGTTCAGCATCATGTTCTCAAAAAGGAACACAGTATTTTCTCAAAGGGAAATTCTAATAACAGTGTACAATTGGGACTAGCCAGCTCATTAAGAACCAAAGGATTTCATGTATTTACATGAAGCAAATTCACTAACTCTAGAAATACCTATATCTTAAAACATTTCTATACAGGTACTCTTTTGAGAGCTTTTCAGGGAAGATTTCCTTCAGTAAACTATTCTAACAGAAGTCAAGTATTCTTTTCCATTTAAAAGTCTTCTGATTATTTTTATTGTTATTATGCAGCCTTAGCGGTACACCCTAGGAGAAAAAATTCTTGCAAATAAGAATAAATTCTTCCTGTTGCTTTCCTAGAGGTTAACTGTTACAGGAAATGATTGCCTGAAGCAAAACTATGATTCTTGATTATTAACTATCTTGATACATAAGAAACCCAAATTACTCTGTGAATATTTTAACCTTTAAAATCTATTAATTTATACACAATGATTACTGTGTAATTTCTTAACAAGAAAGATTCTAATTATTCCATTCATCTAGTTTTAAGTCATCACTTTATGAAAATAAACCAATATTATCATCTAATAAAATTAAAACTAAGGGCAAAACTTCAGGATATCCAAGTTATTTACTGTACTCTAGACAAGTTAGGAATGTTTGCCTTAGTTTTCTCACCTGTAGGGTAAAAATAAGCACACAATAGTTGAAATTTTCTTACTTCTCATGGCAGTCTATGAGAATTAATCATATTTTTCAATAACAAATTTTGGCATGTTAGTTGACATGTGACACACAAAGGTATATGATTATTCTTCTTTAAAAACATAATGCAAACAGCTAGACTTTTATACATTCGATTTAGCTGAATATCAAAATAAAGGAAAATAAAAGAATATTTAAAAATCTCATTTCAATCAATCGTTTGGAGCTCTCTGTCCAGCCTACAAAAGGAGCAATGGCTTCTAAATGTTAGATGCAGAGAAGCATTTAAATGGCATTTCAAATGAATAACTGCAATATAAAGAAATATTTCATTATTAAACATTTTATTAATTTTAAATGTGCTATAATTTAGATAATAGGTGTACAACTACAGGAAAAAAGAAATCGTTTGCCAACCAGGTAAATAGGATTCCCAAGAGACAGTTAAACCTGAACAAAGAACAAACCCACAGCCAATATCATACTGAATGGGCAAAAACTGGAAGCATTCCCTTTGAAAACTGGTACAAGACAGGGATGCCCTCTCTCACCACTCCTATTCAACATAGTGTTGGAAGTTCTGGCTAGGGCAATCAGGCAAGAAAAAGAAATCAAGGGTATTCAGTTAGGAAAAGAAGATGTCAAATTGTCCCTGTTTGCAGATGACATGATTGTATATTAAGAAAACCCCATCGTCTCAGCCCAAAATCTCCTTAAGCTGATAAGCAACTTCAGCGAAGTCTCAGGATACAAAATCAATGTGCAAAAATCACAAGCATTCTTATACACCAGTAACAGACAGAAAGCCAAATCATGAATAGCTTCAAAGAGAATAAAATACCTAGGAATCCAACTTACAAGGCATGTAAAGGACCTCTTCAAGGAGAACTACAAACCACTGCTCAGTGAAATAAAAGAGGACACAAACAAATGGAAGAACATACCATGCTCATGGATAGGAAGAATCAATATTGTGAAAATGGCCATACTGCCCAAGGTAATTTATAGATTCAATGCCATCCCCATTAAGCTACCAATGACTTTCTTCACAGAATTGGAAAAAACTGCTTTAAAGTTCATATGGAACCAAAAAAGACCCCGCATTGCCAAGACAATCCTAAGCCAAAAGAACAAAGCTGGAGGCATCACGCTACCTGACTTCAAATTATACTACAAGGCTACAGTAACCAAAACAGCAGGGTACTGGTACCAAAACAGAGATATAGACCAATGGAACAGAACAGAGCCCTCAGAAATAATACCACACATCTACAGCCATCTGATCTTTGACAAACCCGAAAAAAACAAGAAATGGGGAAAAGATTCCTTATTTAATAAATGGTGCTGGGAAAATTGGCTAGCCATAAATAGAAAGCTGAAACTGGATCCTTTCCTTACTCCTTATACGAAAATTAATTCAAGATGGATTAGAGACTTAAATTTTAGACCTAAAACCATAAACCCTAGAAGAAAACCTAGGCAATACCATTCAGGACATAGGCATGGGGAAGGACTTCATGTCTAAAACACCAAAAGCAACGGCAACAAAAGCCAAAATTGACAAATGGGATCTCATTAAAGTAAAGAGCTTCTGCACAGCAAAAGAAACTACCATCAGAGTGAACAGGAAACCTACAGAATGGGAGAAAATTTTTGCAATCTACTCATCTGACAAAGGGCTAATATCCAGAACCTACAAAGAACTCAAACAAATTTACAAGAAAAAAGCAAACAACTGCATCAAAAAGTGGGCAAAGGATATGAACAGACAATTCTCAAAAGAAGACATTCATACAGCCAACAGACACATGAAAAAATGCTCATCATCACTTGCCATCAGAGAAATGCAAATCAAAACCACAATGATATACCATCTCACACCAGCTAGAATGGCAGTCATTAAAAATCAGGAAACAACAGGTGCTGGAGAGGATGTGGAGAAATAGGAATACTTTTACACTGTTGGTGGGACTGTAAACTAGTTCAACCATTGTGGAAAACAGTGTGGCGATTCCTCAAGGATCTAGAACTAGAAATACCATTTGACCCAGTCATCCCATTACTGGGTATAAACTCAAAGGATTATAGATCATGCTGCTATAAAGACACATGCACACGTATGTTTATTGCAGCACTATTCACAATAGCAAAGACTTGGAATCAACCCAAATGTCCATCAGTGACAGACTGGATAAAGAAAATGTGGCACATATACACCATGGAATATTATGCAGCCATAAAAAAGGATGAGTTTGTGTCCTTTGTGGGGACATGGATGCAGCTGGAAACCATCATTCTCAGGAAACTATCACAAGAACAGAAAGCCAAACACCGCATGTTCTCACTCATAGGTGGGAATTGAACAATGAGATCACTTGGACTCGGGAAGGGGAACATCACACACCGAGGCCAATTGTGGGGAGGGGATGGGGGGAGGGATAGCATTAGGAGATATACCTAATGTAAATGACGAGTTAATGGGTACAGCACACCAACATGGCACATGTATACATATGTAACAAACCTGCACGTTGTGCACATATACCCTAGAACTTAAAGTACAATAATAAGAAAAAAATTTTTTAAAAAACAAAAAAAAACCTGAACAAAGAGAGTCCAAGGTTAATATTTTTAATGAATCTAAGAAAATCTATATGTGATTTAGTTTTTATCCCTGGTGCTGAATGCAAAAGTGACACATCATATACTTAATAAATGCATGATGAATAAAGAATGGAATACATGAATACATAATTATATAATACATAAAATTAAAGTTTCATCTAGTCATTTAAAAATCCCCTAAAAGAAATATTTTTATAAGCTAGCTCAATTAATTATATACATATCTCTCTTTTTATTTCTGAACAGCTATATATAATAATGCAAATTTATTGAGTAAATAATGAGAAAGACTTTTTGTTTTATAATGACTTTTCATTTTGAAACAAAAATTATCTTCTAATTTATTAGAAAAATCTACATTACTGAACTGAAAATATTGACATAGGATTTTCAAATCTTTATAATATGAGTATATTCTAAACATGTATTCTAAATATGTGCTCTGTACTTGAAACTAAGAAATATATAAAAGTATATCATTCAAACAAATTCAGAGTACCATTCTTACTAGTTAATTTGAATTAATGAGCTTTTACTAAAACCATATCATTTGTAACTAGAAAATAATATGCTCAAATTATGTAGTAATAATTAAGAAAAAACATTTTATACTTACGGACAAAGTTCAACTTCTAAATACTGCTCAGTTATATCATTCAAGAAAAATGCTTCCACAACTTTTGAAAACAGAGATATAACATATTGAGAAATTTAATATTGCTTTCCAACAATAAATAATTTGTTTATTCCTTTAGAATATAAAATAAATTGACTATTTTTAATTATAATACTATCCCCAATAGGAAAAAGAGCAAAGAAAATAGACATTGCCTGGAAGAAGAAATATATAGGAAATAAATCATCAACAATTTTCTCGCATATCAGATTGCCACATATTTAAAAGATTAATTAAAACTAGTGCTGGTCAAGTTGTAAAGAAATTAATATTATCACATAAACTTTGAGCCAGTTATTTTCTTTTAGGAATGTATCTGAAGAAAATAATCTGACCACTGGGAAAAGAATTAAGTATAATGCTATTCATTAGAGTACTGTTCAAAAATTAGAAATGATCTAAATGATTTATCTCCTATTACATAAGATTATCTCTTATTCTCTAAATAAATCTCCTATTATATAGAAGAACTGTTAAGTAAATTATGGAATTCATGTATTCCATGCAATGGAATACAATGCAGTTATTAAAATCAAAGATACCATTAAATATTTTTTGATATAGGAAGATATCCATGATATTCAATAAGTCAGCTGCAGAATAGCACCAAAATGCGTGTGACATTAAAATTTCATGTGTGTCTATGTCTAGATGGCTCCAAAATGTGCACAAAAATGTTAATGACTGCATATCTGTGATTGCAGGAATTTAGGTAGGTGATCTTTCTTTTCTTGTTTATAATTTCCTGGAAATTTCTGAATATTGCTATTTTTAAAATTTAATTTTGAACATAATACATCTTTCTTTCAAATAATTAAAACAATATATATATGAAGTAAAAAGTCATGTCCTTTTCTTCCCCTTTGGTCTAAAATCTGCCAGACCTTTTCTGTGCTTCTCCATACTATTTTAATGACTGAATAGTATTATTTTATAGAATATTATAACTTATTCATTTAATCCTTTATGGATAGACATTTAGGTTGTTTCCAGTTTTCCATGTGTTGTTTTTATAATAAAAGAGCTAAAACATAGACATAGTTCTGCCAGCAAGTCAGAGAATCTTATTGTCCCTTTATGAATCTTTTATCTAGATAAATGAGAATGTCTACTGTGATAGTTAATCGTATCTGTCAAATTAACTAGGCCATGGTATCCAGATATTTTGAAACATATTATTCTAGTTGTTTCTATGAAGCCATTTTTTAAAGATAAGTTTAACATTTAAATCAGCAGACTTTTAGTAGAGCAAGTTTCCCTCTATAATGTGGCTGGGGCTTATCCAATCAGTTTAAAGCCTTCATAGAAAAAAAGACTGACCTCCTCCAAGAGACGAATTCTGCCAGCAGACAGCATTCAGATTTGAACTGCAACATCAACTCTCCAGCTGGCAGACTGAAGACCCAGGGAAGAGTGGACTTGCTAGCCACCACAATTGTGTGAGCTAATTTCTTAAAATAGATCTCTCTCTTTCTCTCCATATATATAAAATAGATATATACATACATACGCACACACACATACTCTCTCTCACTATAAATATATGTGTGTATATCACACACACACACACACACTCAGATGCACATATATATCTTCTGCTTTCTACTTTCCATCATCACCTTACAAATACTTTTGCAGCTTCTCTGTGTTAAACACTATATCAGATTCTGGAAATACCTTTATTAGCTTACAATCTAATCAGATACTAATGTGGAAAATTTTAATAAAAATTCCAAAAGGGAGGATGCATACATTGCTACAAGAAAAAAAGAAAACAGATGCTTAGCTCAAAAAAGTACTTTAGTGAAGGATTCCTGGAAAAGTTGCTATTTAAGCTCTGTCTTGAAAGATGATTTGGAACTAGGTGAAGAATGACAGAAACAGCATTCTAGGGCAAGACAACAGTAAAATCAAGGGTACACAATTAGGAAATATTGTAGCTTAAAGAACTATATGAACAGTTCAGTCTTACCAGGCAAACCTTTCAATGTAGGAGGAGCTGGTGGTGCTACAGAGAGAATAAGCAGCCAGGTCATGGAAAGTCTTATATAGAGATCATATTAAGAAGGGCAAAACTTACCTTGAGAGGAAAGGATCCTGAGAAGGTTTTTAAGTAGCTGAAGGGTGAGTTTAAATTTTCATTTTAGATTTAGCACTCTGGCTTCTAAGTGAAGAATGGGCTTAAGGGCTAAAAGACTATTTAGAAGGCTCTGCACTAACCGAGGTAAAAGACTATGAAAGCCTTACTTTTGGAAAGGATAGTGGGGATGAAGAGGAGATACTGAGTTAGAGGAATACTTAGGAGGCAAAACTGATGGGACTTAGTAAACAAATCCAAATAATGCAAAGTGTCAAAGAGGGATATCTTAGAAAGATCTCACAATTTTTTAGATTTGGTGATTTAATGTATTGTTAATACCATTTATTGATATTGGGCAATTAGGTAAAGAACTGGTTTATGAAAGAAGTAGGTGAGTTGAGGTTAGAATTTGTTGAGTTTCATGTCTGTAGTGCCTCTAGCAGGTAAGTCACATTAGTGTGTATTCCATTAATAAGAGGATAATATACCAGTTTTGTATCAATAAAAGACAATATATATTTAACATATGACAAATTAACACTGACAAAATGTGTGCTTACAAATGGCATAAACTAGACATATTGACTAGAAGATTCATCAAAATCTTCTTTGAAGAAATGCAACATGAATTAGATCTTGAACTATGCATTAGAGGCAGGGGGAATAGAATGAGAAGGTACATAGGTTAAGAGCTTTGGCTGAATATGGTGGCCCAATTCATAAGTATGCTGAAAGCTTAAAGGAAGGGTTTGAACTTTATCCTAGGGATAATAATGATTTATGATCTGGGAAATGGCATCATGAAGAGTATTTCATAAAGATGAATCTGATAGCTTAATTAGGATACAGCAGAAGGAGATCATAGAGCAAACCTGAAACAGTGTAATTTTATGTCATGTCTTAATTTGATATGTGTGATGAGTTGCCAGTATAAAGTAAAAACTACATTTCATATTGAGGTTGATAGTGTTTCTACAATAAGTAAAACACTCCAAATTTTCCATAAAGAAGATTTATAAGGTTAGAGTGGTAATTTAAAGATACTTAAATACAAAACAGGAATCTTGAACTCTTCTCAGCATAGGTAACAGAAATAAAGGAAGAAAATAAGGTGGCAATAAAAAAATCTGGATTTGTGGCTGGGCAAGGTGGCTCACGCCTGTAATCCCAGCACTTTGGGAAGCTGAGGTGGGCAGATCACAAGGTCAGCAGATCAAGACCATCCTAGCTAACACAGTGAAACCCCATCTCTACTAAAAATACAAAAAATTAGTCGGGCATGGTCGCGGGCACCTGTAGTCCCGCTACTCGGGAGGCTAAGGCAGGAGAATGGCATGAACCCGGGAGGCGGAGCTTGCAGTGAGCCGAGATTGCACCACTACACTCCAGCCTGAGCGACAGAGCAAAACTTGGTCTCAAAAAAAAAAAAAAAAAAATCTGGATTTGTAATTGCCATTTTTTAACTCTTCTAGCTATATAGTTAAAGTCATACAGGTAATGGAGAAAAAGTCAGAATGAGAGATTGGTAGGAAGTATCAGAAACTCTACATGTCAATTGCTCAGAAGCACTTTCTTCCCAACAGCAAGATAAAATAATAGTTCTGTGAGAGGTTATTATAAGAAGATTTATGTTTGCAATAAAACACACTACTACCACTTACCTTCATAATCCCACAGTTGATTGAAAGGTTTTCCTGGTTCTCCAAGTGGGGCTGGAGGATCATTGAAAAATGGAGCACTAATGTCCATCATCACTCCTCTGTCACCTGGATTCAGCCTGATAAATACCGGCTCGTGCTTCACTGGAAAACCATCCCAAGTGTGTTCAATTTTAAAATCCATCTGAAGACTCTTAAAGAAAAATATATTAAAACAAACTCTTTAACAATACACAAATGTTTTCTTTAGTTGGAAATGAAATGAAAATTTCAATGCCAAACAGCAGACGGGAAAGGCAGCAAGAGCACAGTCCTGGGAGCCAAAAGGCTATCTTGTGTTGTGCCAAAGCACGGACTCTGAGTTCTAGTCTAAAATAGGTAACTAGTTCCTAGAGGCTTTAAAACTTCTAGATTTAACACTTTTTTATGTACCTTTTTTTTAATTGCTGTCATAGAAACACTATCAGTCTCAACACGAAAAATGATAAAAGTGTTAAAAGTCTAGATTTGGCTCTAGTGCTGTTGTAAACAGTGCATCAAAATCATTTTCTTAATTGTAATTAAGTCTACTGCAAAAATTGTTTATATACTTAATCATAACTACAAGCACCATGGGTTCTTATGTTATCCTTTGTCTTTTATTTATTGTAAAGTGTGCAGGTGTCTCAGTTACTGGATCCTCTGGGAATCAAGATCTTTATAATAAAATTCAACTAGTTTAAAAAAAAATCTCCATAAATCAGTAGAAGCAGTGCTGTTAACACCTGTTCTTTTGGCCAAAATCCTTTTCTTCATGGGGGTTGGGGATGGGGAGTTCCAATCATTTAAAAGTTAGTAGAGCTGAATTTTGCCTTCCTTTGTCCCAGCATATACACTTTCGTTTTTAATATTTTAACTGTTAAATGACTGCTTGCTTGGTTAATTACCTCTCTCCAACTGAAAAATGGGAACAGAATCTGCAATCATTTAAACTTTGAAATAGACTGAGTACCTACAAAAGAGCAGTTTTTGCATTTTAAATTAGTTTTCTAAGTATTCAATAGAGGGTATTGTAATGCATTGATAAAATTTTTGAATACTATGGATTAGGCATTTTCTAAACATTGTCTCATTTAATTTCACTACAAATTTGCAGAGAAACTATTATTGTCCTCATACAAATGGAACAGATTTGTCCAAGGTCATGTGACTAGCATATCTAGAAATTAAACCAATGTCAGCAATGTTTTCCCAGATGAAGACATTTCAGGAATCTGCAAGGAGGTGAAAATTTTATTTCAGGAGTGGTGGAACCCCCAAATTATACTAGATCCTGTAATTTTATCCAAAAGATAATCTCACTTAGTACCTTATGACTTTTCCAAACTGTAACTTCTTTTATCTGAAATCTTTGAATGCTTTCCTTTGCTTCATAAGTTATTTACAATCTTTTACTGTAATTAATGAAGTTACTAAATTTGGAATTAATTTAAATCAGTGAATATGTATTGAAAACCTACTACGAGTTAAGCAGTGGGACATCCAAATGTACAAGCTCTGCATAACATAAGAAATCCAAGACCTCTAAAAACCTTTTTCTAAAGCATATAGCTTTTACTAAGTTTCACTATATGCTCACAAATTTTACTAGATAATCTCTAAAATTAAACAATTCTGGTATTATAACCCATTTGTAGAAAGCTAATAGCATTTCAGAAGAAATGTTCAGCAACTCATATTCTTCATTATTGATATAAGCTCAATGAGTGATAAAACTATATAAATTGATTCTGATTTAAGTGGATTGCATGGAATAAAATACCTCAATAATAAATTTATTTTCTTTAGTTGAAACATCAAGGCACATTCTACAAAAAAAAAAAAAAAGTATAATCCTCTACCCTAAATTTTGGTAGTAATAAGCATCCTCATGCAGCATATAGGAAGAAATAAGAATAAATCAGGACGTTAAAAATGCTGAATGACTGACTCTGACACCAATAGGCTGAAAGAAAATGCTATTCTCCTAATTTAGAGCTTGATAATTCTTGACAATTTTGGCAATATATACCTTAGCTACTAGGAAGTTCTGGCAGATTCACTTATTCTTCATACAACCACCAAATCCACAAAAATTCTGCATACATTAAAGAGATCCCTATCTTAATCAGTGAGTTTCCACTAGGGACTTAATTCCCAGCACATTCAGGCAATCAATTCTATGTCTAAATGGAATAAAACCATACCAGTGACATCCAGTGATATGCTCCTAAAACTGGCCTATCATTTCTATGCACACATGGTGGGTCTCATGGTCAGAGTGAGGTAGACTTTATAGCAGGTTTGTCCCATCTTTTGGCTTCCCTAGACCACATTGGAATAAGAATTGTCTGTCTTGGGCCATACATAAAATGCATTGACACTAACAATAGCTGATGAGCCAAAAAAAAAAAAAAAAAAAAAAAAAAAAAAAAATCACAAGAAAATTCATAATGTTTACGAATTTGTGTTGGGCTGCATTCTAAGCCATCCTGGGCCACATGTAGCCCATGGGCCTTGGGTTGGACAAGCTTGCATAAATTTCAAATTACTTCAAAATGTAATTTTATCTGGAAGATAAGAAGTAAAAGATAAAAGCAAAGTTACCATTGTTAAGAATTAGGTAGTGAGTACCTCAAACCTTTCTACTGGTTCCTTCTGCTTTTCCCCACTAAGGTTTCTTTGAGCATTATTTGAAAATTACTATAAGAAATAGAGACTAGACTTCCACAAGTAGCCAAGACCAATAGTGCATGGCTCATCAGTCCAAAGACCGAATATAATTTTGGCTTTAATTGCATAAACAACTTTAGTTTCTTATTGCAATGACAAATTTGTTTATTTTTTTAAAAATTTATATTGCTTAAAGAACATTCATGTCAATCTAAGTATGCATAATATTTATAAAAATTAACCTAAAAAGTATAGTCCATCCTGCCCAGTAGTTAATGGTCTAGTTTAAAAATAACATAAACTAGAGACAGATGATTCTCCTTCAGTAATCTTCTGAGATTTAACCCCCACAGTCTTTCAATTTCTTTGTATTTGAAATTGTGCTCATTAAGTAAAGACAACTTAAATGTCAATGTCCTTGACCTCTTGGGCTAGCGCTCCCCTCCTAGTCATTCTCTATTAACCTGTACACTGCTCTATTTCTATTCTTACATGGCACTTACATGGCATGACATATTTGTTTATTGACTCCCTGAACCCAGCTAGAATGCCTATAAGTGATGCTTACTATTTATTTGTTGAGTGAATAACTTTTCTAGTCCCTGGATCTAACCCTCTAGATTTTGTGCAGGAGAAACCTACTGTGTTCGTGGTATCGTCATCATGACCATCACGTAGTGTCATTTAACACTACATATCAGATCAATACAACGGCTAATAACAAAGATGATAAACCCAGAAATTCCCTTCAATTTAGTTTATCAAGCATTTATTAAGTATTCATCTTATTTCAGGTACCATACCAGGTGCTGGGGCAATAATATATAATAAGTCTACGGCAGTTTGGGATGGTTCTCATGTAACTAATCAATGAAGTCCCCATTTCCAATATCAGTTGCTTCATTTTGCAGTCCTAAATTTAATTCAGTGGGATCCTTATACCAAAGTAAGTTTTAGATGAATCAAAGATTTAAGCATAAAAATCAAAATCATATAAAAACAAGAAATAAAAAGAGAGTTAAATAAAATCTTAATAGTAGTAAGGTAGGAGACAAGCTGGACCTGTTTTCTGAGCACCAAGGCCCCACTGATTAAAACAGAATCTAATCAAAACAAAATGAAGCAAAAGAAAACAGCTAAAACCAAGATGGCAACAAAAGTGATCTCTAGTTGCCCTCACTGCTCATTACACATTAATTATAATGCAGTAGTATGCAAAAAGAAATTCCCAACAGTGGCATGACAGTTTACAAATGCCATGTTTGTAAACTCCTAGAAGTTACCTTATAAGGTTTAAAAAAGGGAGGAACCCTCAGTTCTGGGAACCCTTCCTACTTTTCTGGAAAATACATGAATAACCCACCCCTTATTTAGCATACAATCAAGGAATTGTCAAGTATATAACTAGCCAACAGTTCATGGGAGCTGCTGCTCCTACTCTGTCTATGGAGCAGCCATTTTCCCGTAGTTTGTTGCTCTGATAAACTTGCTTTTGCTCGTGAACCCCTTCCTGAATGAAGCCAAGAACCCTCCTGGGCTGAGCCCCAATTCTGGGCTTTCCCTGCATTAGTAGAGAAAACCTTTTAAAATAGAAACCAAAACCCAAACATTTTACTACATAAATATAACAAAACTATCATGGATGCAGCTGGAGGCTATTATTCTAAGCAAATTAATGCAAGTACAGAAAACCAAATACCACATATTTTCACTTATAAGTGGAAATTAAACATTAGGTACTCATGGACATAAAGATGGCAACAATAGACACTGGGGACTACTAGAGGGGGATGGGAAGGAAGGGGCAAAGGTTGAAAAACTAACTACTGGGTACTATGCTCACTACCCAGGTGATGGGATCATTCATACCCCAGATCTCAGCATCATGGAATATAACCATGTAACAAACTTGCACATGTATCCCCTGGATCTAAAATAGAAGTTGAAATTTTTTTTAATAATTAATAAATAATATAATAAAAGCAAAAACCTCCTTCCCAAGTTCCCCTTACCCCAAAAGTCTATCATTAACAAAATCAAAAGACAGTCTGGGAAAAAGTATATGCAAGTCATACTTGATACAAATAACTAATTTCTTTGATGCATAAAGAGCTCCTAGAAATCATAAGGAAAAGACCAACACTCTAACAGAAAAGTGACCAAAAATTATGAACAGCCAGTTAGCTCACAGAGAGAAAATGCAAAATGTTCACTTACAATGACAGAAATGCAAACTAAAACCACAATAAATTACCATTTTTCACTTAGATTGGCAAGGATCAGAAAGTCTGATAACATGCTGTGTTAATGAGGGCATTGAGAAAAAATCATAATGTTGCTAGTGAGGCATAATTGATACAGCCTCTGTGAAGAGCAATACGTCAGTATCAAAATAAAAATGCAAATATCCTTCGACAAAAATAATTCTAGTTCTAGGAGTTACTATACCTGCACATATTCAAAATGCATAAGTGTTGAGGATATTTGTGGTAGCATTGTTTATAATAACAAAATGTTGGAAGCAACTTAAATACCCATCAGTAGAGGACTGGTAAAAAAAAAAAATTATGCTATATCATACAATGAAACACTGTATAACTGCTAAAATGAATGAGGCAGCTCTAAATTAACATCTATGCTAAAATACGTTGTGAAGTGAAAAAAAGCAAGGTGCATTTATTTAATAAAAAGGAAGTTTATTTGCATATATGCTTGTGATGCATACACTATCTCAGGAAACACCAACAAACCAGGTGGTTACAGTGGTTGCTTCCCTGAAGGGAATTATCTGCCTGCAGATATGGGAAGGAGGAAGCTTTGCTTTCAACTTCATCACTTTTTAAAAACCTATTTGCATTTTATACTATGACAGACACGCATTACTATTTTAAGGCAACTGAATGGTTTAAAATTATTTTTTGGCCGAGCGCAGTGGCTCACGCCTGTAATCCCAGCACCTTGGGAGGCCAAGGCGGGCGGATCACAAGGTCAGCAGATCAAGACCATCCCGGCCAACACAGTGAAACCCCGTCTCTACTAAAAGTACAAAAATTAGCTGGGTGTGGTGGCACGAGCCTGTAGTTCCAGCTACTTGGGAGGTTGAGGCAAGAGAATCGCTTGAACCCGGAGGCGGAGGTTGCAGTGAGCTGAGATAGCGCCACTGCACTCCAGTCTGGTGACAGAGCAAGACTCCGTCTCAAAAATAAATAAATAAATAAATAAATAAATAAATAAATAAATAAATAAAATAAGGCTGGTCTCCTAAGAGTATGGCGGCTGCCTCTTCTCCCCTTTATATTATATATGCTGAACGTTTCCGAAAAGTCATAATGCATATTATCAAGATGATTACTGTCCTGCAATTCAAGTTTGGCTGTTTAGACTTTTTTTTTTTTTTGAGACGGAGTCTCGCTCTGTTGCCCAGGCTGGAGTGCAGTGGCCGGATCTCAGCTCGCTGCAAGCTCCGCCTCCCGGGTTTACGCCATTCTCCTGCCTCAGCCTTCCGAGTAGCTGGGACTACAGGCGCCCACCACCTCGCCCGGCTAGTTTTTTGTATTTTTTAGTAGAGACGGGTTTCACCGGGTTAGCCAGGATGGTCTCGATCTCCTGACCTTGTGATCCGCCCGTCTCGGCCTCCCAAAGTGCTGGGATTACAGGCTTGAGCCACCGCGCCCTGCCTGTTTAGACTTTCTTAATACAATGTTTATTGTTAATCTGTTTCTACTTTTAACCCCTATTCTTCAAATTGCTCTTAAAACAAGTCAAAAAAATAAATTTTCAATTACTCTGATTGCTTTCTCTTTACTTGGAAAGACCTCTAAAAGGAAACGAAGGAAGAGAAAGGAGACCGAACACTGGAGCATTAAGAACCCGGGAAAAGAAAAAAAAGGTCCACAAAGTTTAAAAGAAATAAATTATGGTAAAGGTGTTTTCTCAACCAAATGATCCGCAAGGAAAATTTCCAAATTCCTCTGCTCAACAAAATTTCTTTTAGTTTTTCTACAATAATGATTTCTTTTCAGTTTCCATACCGCCCCGAGGCCCCGCCCATTTATAAGAGAAACGAAGAAACGAAGAAACGAGGAAGTCAGCCTGACAGTGGGAGTACGCTCAATTAGCAGGAGACAACTGAAAAGTAAAATACTTTTCATTGTTTTCCAGAGATCAAGCGAAAGACAAGACCTCGCGACCGCGAAAGGAAGGTCAGAGAGAAGAGGGAATAACAAAAGAACACAGACCACGAAGCTTTTCTCAAAACACTGGCTTCCTCCTCTTAGCCGAGGTCAACGCAGAGGGCTCGGCTTTAGGCTCCACCCAGCTTCCTACACGTTCTGGGGGAGGGGCTTGGAACACTGAAGCAGCGACACTTGATTTTTCCAGGAAAGAAAAATGTTGAAGGGCCACAGGTGAACATCTAAAGACTTCTAATCGTTCCACTAAAGTTTGAGTGGTTTCCTAGAAGAAGGAAGGGTGATTCAGAAATAAAAATACCGTGCAATAATTTGAAAATCAACTGTAAAGCATTAAGATTACAACAGAACATGTACAGAAATAATTCATTTAATACAACTACAGGCTAACTGGCTATATAAGCAAAAACTATAAATTATACCAGCTATAAATTAGATTATACTATACTCCTGCGGAGGCATGTTCATGGCGGTTAACAGTTGTGAAATTAGAACCATCCTGCCTGAGTTCAAATCGCAACTCAGGCATTTGCCAGCTGTGTGATCTATTCTGACCCTTGCTTAAACTTCTAACTTTGTATTCTTCATGGTACTTTGCACATAGTACTGGGTGCTCAATGTCAATTGATCAACCGAATTAATGTTAGTGAAAGTCACTAATTTTCAATCTATACAATTATCTATGAGTACGTACATTTCCACTTGTCATTCCTTCTATTCAATTTATACTAATAGATACTTTCCAGGAACATCTACTGAATTCTTTCATTCCTTCCATCAGATATTTAATCAATTCTGTGTTCCAGGTATTATGATGGAGCCTGGAGACAAACTACAAAACATGATAGATAATGCAGGAAGGAGCATGAAATAAGTACTAAGGTGGCACCTACCTTGGGAGAAGTGGATAGAGAACTCAGGACGTGTGAAAAGGAGAAACACGAGAGGGATCCTTTAAGGATAAGTGAAAACAATTTTGTTTCCTAATGATGAAACTTACGTTGAAAATACTCCATTAAAATTCATCTACTAAAATCTTGTAACCACAAACACAAAAACAAAAAACTATCACGATCATAATTATGATTATGTAAGCTAAAAAAAATCGAGTGCAGACACAAAAATTTTCACCTGAGATACTCACTTTATGTAACTACCACTCATTATTATAGCCAGAAGGTATTTGCTTCCATCCAGTTTGGATGTAAGCATAGAGTTAAGTCTATAATTATTTATTTGATGCCAAGTAGAAATACAGTATGACAATATACAAGGTTCAAATGTGGGAGAAGTTACAAGCAAGTCCTCGGAGAGTCAGTGAGATGTTTATGAAGAGTCATATACTGAACTCCATAAACGAGTTGGAGCTTGCACACTCAATTTTCCCTTTATGTAAAAAGTTTTCGTGTAAACATTATAGCTACTAAAAATCAGAACAAGTTCAATTATCCACGACCCAAAGCTAGATTAGACCTTTTCAATGATTATTAAGCTACACATCCATATTTAACAGCTAGTCTTTAGAGGAAGGGACCATCTCATTCTATTAACAGCGAGTATTGAGTCAGGCCTTCAGATGCCTAACTGCACATATTCGAATACATTTTTAAAAATTTCTTAACACATATCGCTAAGGTTACTTTATATGACATTATGAGTACAGGACAACAAAACTCTTAAGCTGTTAAACAGAAAGCCAAATCAAGCTGCATCTATGACATGCCTGTTTAGTGAAACTTTACTTCAATCCATAAAAATACAATTTATTAAAAGCGCAAAACTAGTGGCTAGCTTCAAATTAACATATTTGTTGCTAGTGGTGAGATTTCCTCCAATGTTAAATAATTTAAAAAAAAACATACGTTTTAAATCCAGACAAAATCAATTTTCAAAAATGAAAATTGTAATCTATCCACAAATGTAAGTTTTACCGTTTTGTTTTTTGCAAAAAAAAAAAAAAAAAGTTCCTTTTATCTTTCCTTATATTTGAGGAAAAAAGCTTATCTTTGAAGAAATAGCTGCTGAATTTGCAAGATCTTTTGAATACTTCTAACTACATGCTTTATTACTACACAGTTAAATATTTAAACAACAGTTGTCTCCTTTGGCAGGATGGTACTTACCTTCTTGAGATGACCAAATCGAAACACAGAACTCCTCCAGAGGTACAGCCTTGGTGGGAAATTCTGAAGACCCAAGTCTGGCTTCTACCCCTAGCCGCATGAACCTGCATCCTTTACTTAGTCCAGAAAGGCTTAGTATATTAGTAACCCAAAGATAGTGAGGGCATTTAAACTGTGTATTTCATGCCCTACTCACGTTTGCATTTTGGGTTTAAAAAAAAAAAAAAGAGGTTGGGCCCCACCACCTGGAGACACTGTCCCACCAGTTTGCCCGCCGCGCCAAGCCGGTGGCTCAGCTGTCACCTAGGTTCTCACGACTCCTCCTATTGCTTGACAGCCAGCCAATAGCGTGCTAGGACTCTAGGACGCGCGATGGCGTAAGCGCCAACGCCCGCGTGATGACGCAAGCGGCGTCACCGTCTCCAAGGAGTGGTTCGGGGCACCGGTTTCAAAGTCGCAGGGCGGGCCGAGTGGACTTCCGCTGCTGGCCTGGGGCTTCCCAGCCGTGTTGGCGTCGTCTTCTCCAACCCACGCCGCTTCGCGTAGAACGCCGCTCTCAGGCTGCCCTCCAGCTCCCGCGGCACTCTCCTAGGTGGCCCGACGAGACCCAGAGTGACCCGCGGGACGCCTGTATCGAGCAAGTCCTCTTCCCACCAGGGTGGGATTCGGTTGAACGTGGAACAGAATTCACCTGGCGCGCCCCCAGCAATCTTCAGTCTCTCTCCAGGGCCTGGGACTCGTCTGGGGCGCGGGGGAAGGAAGCGTGGCGGGGCTGTAGATGCCGCGTGAGTAGGATGCAGATTGCACCGCTGGAGCGCTTGACAACCAACCGAGCGTTGGCTTAGTTTTGTTTTCCCGCACAGCAAGCTCTGTGTCTTTCAGAGGAAGGTAAAGGTGGTGAAAACTCCAAACTAAAATTGTATCGAAATGGCTACAGAAATCGACTTTCTGAGAGAGCAAAGTAAGCTCCATGTTTTTTTGAGACTTCATATTCACATACAATGTTTAATATCGTCGTCGTTGACCGACAAATCTTTTTTGAATGCTGGTTGGGTACATTTAAATTTGTAAAAATTTAAAGAAGTTAGTTGCAGGGAAAAAAAAAAAGAGCTTGATGGTATACGTGAGGATGTGTGTATATTTAAGCAGAACCGTATGGTGGTACTTGTGGCTTACACAGAATTCTGCTAGACGCTAAACATGTTTGTTATGCTCCTCTCGTGCTCTGAAGATTAGAAGGCTAATGGCCAGCAAGAGTTTCCAAGTGTGCATTTAAAACCTAGGGGCCCAGCTCTCAGGCCATTTATTAAAAAGATGTTTATTGAACTCCTGTTTCTATTATGTACCAGACACTATAGAAGAACAGCTGCTGCAAAGATAAACAGGACAGTTTTTTACCTTAAGAATTTAATTTGGGGAGGGAAATGTATTCCAAACTATATTGAAGTGGCAGCAACTGCTGGCTCTTTTGCCACAGTCTCAGGGATTGTTGGAATGATTAAATGAATATTAAAATGTGTAAAGGATTTAGAATAGTATCTGATACATTGTTAATTTATTGTTATGTAATAGTTAAATATTAACTGTTACACGATTATTATTAAAATATGTTCAAGGAAGGTGCTATTAGGCTGAAACGTGCAATACCAATATGAATTTAGTATATAAAAACTCTAGGCATCCCAAATAGAACAATACTGGCGACACTGAGGGCATTAGGAATATGCTTTGTTAAAGATTTGCAATAAGGCTAGTTTGAATGTAATATTGATGTAAATGGAATTGGAATATTTATATAGGGAAATGGCAAGTGCAGTCGAAGGAGTAGAAAGGGCTGGATGGTGAAGGGCCCTGTCTTCTCTGTGCTAAGGAGTTTGGACCACTGCATGGGTTATAGGAATTCAGTTGAGAGTGGCATGATCAAATTGTAATTTAGAAGGCCCAGTCTGATTTTTATGGGGAATGTGCATTATAGCAGAGTGCAGTTAGTTGACTACTGTCATCATTCAGATAAGAAGTAAACTAAGTTGGGCACAGGGAGATTGGGGATCAGGGGATTTGAAGGAAAGAGAGGACGCTTCGTTTTTGCTTGAGCAACAGGGAAGTTAGGAAAAAGGTAGTAAGTCCCATTTTGGCAGCATTATAGACCAGTGGTTAAGAACTCAGTTAGCCTCTAGATTTAGTCTGTCTGGGCTCAGAGCCTACCTCTTTCCAGGTCTGTGACCTCGAGCAAGTTTCCTAGCGTTTCTGCACCTCAGTTTTCTCATTTGTGTAATGAGTATAAGAACACAAGAATCCTCTTGAAGTTGTGAGACTTAAATGAGATGATGAAAAAGCAGTGAGCATAGTAGTGTCTGGCACATTTTAAGTGCATGGTATATGTTATCTAAAATAATTAATGACACTGTAATGACACAATAACATTAGCATTATTTCTTAGGTTTGTAGTGAGAATATCCCCATCCCATAAGAACAGCTAACTGGCCACCATAAGAGTGGTGTGGGACAGGAGTTGGTTGATGAGGAGTTTGGCTAGAGTCAGGAGAGTACTTGAAGCAGTGAGAAACTATTAATTTCATAAGAATGATCCAGCCAGAATTCTTAGATAAAACTGAGATCCAAATACCAGGGGGAAACAAATAAGACAACTGAAGCATAGTAACATTTTTTGAAAAATGAGTGGTATTTAATAGTTCCACAGAAGACAAGTGGAGTGCAAGAAGGAAATCTCAAGCAGAAGGAGCAGAAGAAGGAATGGTTCAAAGGCTTAAAATAACTGGTTTTATTCAGGGAATCAGAGCCTAGAATGGTAGCGTATGCATGAAGAGATAAGAATGAGAGTTGAGTGTCTGCGTTGCTCTGCTTTTTTCTTTAACTGGATTTTGCATGCCATTTGAAGGTGGTGGATTATTCCATTAAGTGACCCACCCAAATACCAGCCCAGATAAAGGTAGATGGTCTTCTTTCCACCTGCCTCTGACTTTTTCTACACTGATTTCTGTTGATCTCGATTGTCTCTTTGTTCCTTTTGAATTTGGGAGCCTAGGTCAAGACCATTTGTTTTGGTACTTCTCAACTGGCAACCCCACATGACATTTCCTCTGATAATTACTATTTCAGCTTTACATATCATAACAACAGGCAGCTCCACACTCAACCAGGCTACTAGTAGAGTAAGCTTGTAGCATATTTGCTGTGTACTGTTCTTCCACCTCTGTCTGGGAAAGATCAGTTAGTTTTTAGGAACCTGTTCAAAGAGGTACTTGTATTATCAATCTAAGGAACTAAGAATTCATTCATTAGTGGGGTGTGAGACTCACTGGCAGAGTGGTAATGGACTCATTTTTTTCTTTTCATTCTCTTAACAGTGTTGGACCCAAACATTTTTAATTTTGATGAAATAATTCATCAATTTTTTCTTTTATGAATTGTGCTTTTGGTGTCATGTAAGAAATCATTGCCTAACCCAAGGTTGCAAAGATTTCTTCTATGTTTTCTTCTAGGAGTTTTATAGTTTTAGGTTTTACCTTTACATCTATGGTTCATAGAGTTAAATTTTATACAAGGCATGAGGTAAGGATCCAGGCCACTTTTTTGCATTGGATGCCCAATTGGAAAAACTACCCTTTCTCCATTGAATTACTTTTGCTCCTTTGCAGTTGTTTATATATGTATGTATCTATTTATGAACTCTATTCTTTTCCACTGATTTATTTGTCTTATCTGGACACCAATATCCCGCTGTCTTAATTATATCAGCTTTATAGTACGTTTTAAAGTAAAATTGGTTCTTTTTTACCTCATTGATGTATTTCTTTAAATTTTCTCAGCTATACTTTGTAGTTTTTAATGTTTAGGTTTTGCACATCTGTTGTTAGATTTATGCCTGTGTATTGAAATTTTTGATACTACTGTAAGTGGTATTATTCTTTTACTTTCAGTTTCTGATTTTTCGTTGGTAGTATGTAGAAATAACATTTCTTTTTTATTATTATACTTTAAGTTCTGGGGTACATGTGCAGAACGTGCAGTTTTGTTACATAGGTATACATGTGCCATGGTGGTATGCTGCACCCATTAACCCGTCACCTACATTAGGTATTTCTGCTAATGTTATCCCTCCCTTAGTCCCCCACCCCCCAACAGGCCCCAGTGTGTGATGTTCCCCTCCCTGTGTCCACGTGTTCACCTTGTTCAGCTCCCACTTATGAGTGAGAACATGCAGTGTTTGGTTTTCTGTTCTTGTGATAGTTTGCTGAGAATGATGTTTCCAGCTTCATCCATGTCCCAGCAAAGGACATGAACTCTTCCTTTTTTATGGCTTCATAATATTCCATGGTGTATATGTGCCACATTTTCTTTATCCAGTCTATCATTTATGGACATTTGGGTTTGTTCCAAGTCTTTGCTGTTGGGAATAGTGCCACAATAAACATACGTGTGCATGTGTCTTTATAGTAGAATGATTTATAATTCTTTGGGTATATACCCAGTAATGGGATTGCTGGGTCAAATGGTATTTCTGGTTCTAGATCCTTGAGGAATCGTCACACTGTCTTCCACAATGGCTGAACTAATTTACACTTGCATCAACAGTGTAAAAGCATTCCTATTTCTCCACATCCTCTCCAGCATCTGTTGTTTCCTGACTTTTTAATGATCGCCATTCTAACTGGCGTGAGATGGTATCTCATTGTCGTTTTGATTTGCATTTCTCTAATAACCAGTGATGATGAGCATTTTTTCATGTTTGTTGGCTGCATAAATATCTTCTTTTGAGAAGTGTCTGTTTATATACTTTGCCCACTTTTTGATGGGATTGTTTGCTTTTCTGTTGTAAATTTGTTTCTTTGTGGATATTAGACCTTTGTCAGATGGCTAGATTACAACAACTTTCTTCCATTCTGTAGGTTGCCTGTTCATTCTGATGACAGTTTTTTTTGCTGTGTAGAAGCTCTTCGTTTAATTAGATTCCATTTGTCAGTTTTGGCTTTTTTTTGCCGTTGCTTTTGGTGTTTTAGACATTAAGTCTTTGCCTATGCCTACGTCCTGAATGGTATTGCCTAGGTTTTCTTCTAGGGTTTTTATAGTTTTAGGTCTTATATTTAAGTGTTTAATCCATCTTGAAGTGATTTTTGTATAAGGTGTAAGGAAGTGGTCCAGTTTCAGTTTTCTGAATATGGCTAGCCAGTTTTCCCAACACCATTTATTAAATAGGGAATCTTTTCCCCATTGCTTGTTTGTGTCATGTGTCAAATATCAGATGGCTGTAGATGTGTGGTGAGAAATAATGTTTTTTAATACTCTGCTCTGCAGCTTTGCCAAACTCATTCATTAGCTCTAGTAGTTTTGTAGAGTCTATCAGTAGTTTTATGTAGATAGTCTTGTCATCTGAAAATAAAAACAGTTTTATTTCTTTCTTTTCAATTTGGATGCCTTTTATTTCTTTTCCTTGCCTTATTGCAGTGACTAGAATCTCTGGTACAGTGTTGAACAGAAGTGATAGGAATACGCATCCATGTCCTGTTCCTGATCTTATGGGGAAGGCATTTATCTTTCAGAATTAGGTATGATACTAGTTGTAGGTTTTTAATAGATGTTCTTATGTTGAGAATGTTCCTTTCCATTCTTAATTTGCAGAGAGTTTTTATCAAAATGGATGCTGGATTTTTAAAAATGCTGTTCTGCATCCATTGAGATTATCAGATATTTTTTCATTTTTCATTTGTTAATAGAGTGAATTACATTGATTAATTTCAAATGTTAAAACCACCTTGCCTTTCTGGGATAAATTCTACTTGCTCATGATGTATAATCCTTTCTCGATTATTATTGAATTTTATTTTATAAATGTTTGCTTAAAATTTTAGTGTGTTCAGAAGCTTTTTTTTCTTTTTGGGACAGGATCTTCCTCTGTTACCCAAGCTGGAGTGCAATGGCACAGTCATGGCTCTTTGCAGC